TGAGTCCATGCCCGCTGCTCAACAACCTTTGCATTGTGCTGTGTGAAATAGGAGAGCCCACCGTGCGGCATAGCGGTGGTGCATCTGCCCTTGGATGAGCCTGCAAAGTTGTAAGTGCTGTAACCATAGGAGCATGCTGGAAAGAGCAGCTCAGGGGCTCTTCCTCTGGAAAGCAATGGTGAAAGAACGTATTAAAGAAGAAATGGAAAATTCTACTAAGCAGGGTCTCTGGGGAAAGCTGACTGCTTTTGAGGTGCCCCAGCGCACCTTTGGTAATTTGTGCTGTGGGTGTGGGATAAAACTGAAATCTGCCTGCCACACGGGGGATGCATCAGGCTTCCCTTCTGGTGGCAGACAGAGCGATGGAGCCCTTACAGCTTCAGCCCGAGGAGCAGGGAGTTTTGTGTTTCTGAGGAGGCAGAATGCAATGGACCAGAAAGGGTGATTTTCTGAGAGCGTTTGGGGCAGATGTGTGCTGGATGATGTGAGGCTGAGTGTCTTTGCCAGCAGCAGGAAAGCTGCAGGAAAGCTGTGGATATCCCTTCCAGGGTTCTCTGTCAGCACCCAGCCGATGAGTTTTTGCCTATGCCTGGATTCATGGCAATAGGAAGGAGAAGTGCAGAAGCTCTGCCGCACTGAAGCAAAGTAGATCAATAAAAAGAGTGTAACACATTTGAAAAAACAGAAGGAAGATGACAATGGACATTAAACAACATCTCTAAGCCTGGTGCTGGTTTAACCTTAGGTGACTGCCATCCGGCTGAGCTCAGAAGGAGCAGAGCAGAGACTGAATTTAGATCACAGCAAACTCTGATTCCTCATGCAGAGCAGGGAAACCCAGATGTGAGCTTTGAAGGGCGTGGATGAGAAGGCACAGGAACCCATAGAATCATGGATTCATTTCGGTTGGAAATAGAGGACATGCAAGAATGCAAACAGCCAAGCCAGTGAAAGGAAGGATTCTCCATCCTTTGTGAAAAGCTGTGGATCATTTTATGAATATGTGTGTGTATATATTCAATAGGGGATCTCTTTCCCTGCTGACTACATAGTGCGTTGAGGAATCTGATACTGGGATCGGGGAAAGACAGTGATTTATGTCTATTCACTGAGATTTTGAGAGACACACCTTATCACAGATAGCCATCCTTAAGAAAGTGATTAATAATTCAGATTAGAAGGGGAAGTTTGCTTTTGAAATTGTAAGTCCGTGGAATGGCAATGAAGGACACTGGCCTCACCTTAATGGATCCAATTGCGTCACTAGAGAGTCAGAAAACCATTTTGGTGTGGCGTCTTATCTGTTGAGTGCTGCAATGAAGAAAGTGGCAAACAAGTAGCAGTACTATGGTGTTGACTTCTCCCCATGGAGAGGAGCTGTAATTTTTTCTCCCAGTAAGAACTGGCACCAGGAGCATGGCAGGGGGAAACCACTCTGGTGTGACAGAGTTTGTCCTCTTGGGCTTCACCACCATGCAGGAGCTGCTCTTTGTGGTTTTCTTCCTCATCTACATCACCACTCTGGTGGGGAATCTCGGAATGATCGTCCTCATCAGGATTAACCCTCATCTTCACGCACCCATGTACTTCTTCCTCAGCCACCTTTCCTTCCTGGACGTCTGCTATTCCACATCCATAACTCCAAGGCTGCTGCTGGGACTCCTCACTGAGCAGAAAGTCATTTCTTTTCACAGCTGCCTCACGCAGCTCTTCTTCTATTTAGTATTCATCACCACGGAAGCCTTCTTTCTGGCCATCATGGCATATGACCGCTGTGTGGCCATCCGATGGCCTCTGCACTACTTGGCTGTTGTGTCCCGCAGTGTCTGTATGCAGCTGGTGGTTGGCTCCTACGTGGCCGGCAGCCTGAACGCCTTGGTGCACACCACAGCTCTCCTCCAACTGTCCTTCTGTGGCCCGAATGTGCTGAAACATTTCTACTGTGAAATCCCACCACTCCTGCAGCTCTCGTGCTCTGACACCTGGCTCAACCAGGTCTTGATGCTCTCATGTGCCGGCTTCATCATTGCCTCCTTGGCCTTGGCCATCCTCCTTTCCTACACATTCCTCCTGCTCACCGTCTGCAGCATCCACTCTGTGGAGGGCCGGCACAAAGCCTTCTTCACCTGTATCTCACATCTCACTGCTGTCACCCTCTTCTGTGGCTCTGCAGCTTTCTTGTACCTCCACCCCCTTTCCAGTCACGCGGAAGAGGAAAGGAAAACAGCCTCTGTCTTCTACACGGTGGTGACCCCCATGCTCAACCCCTTCATCTACAGCCTGAGGAACACGGAGGTGAGGAATGCTCTGAGCAGAGCCGTGAGGAAGGTCCCCTCCTGCAGCCATTGTCAGTCTCCCTTCAACCAAATTCTAACAGGTGCTGCACATCACAGCAGATCGTTGGACACCTGATGTAGCAGGGGCATTGCACGTTCTTGCACGTCCCTTGAGAAGAAAATATTTTACCTTGGGCTGGACATTGTGTGGATGATGCTTTTCCAAGGGCTGAGTCCACTGAAGAATGAATGACTTGTAATTTTGGCTTCTGGTAGGATGAAGGAAAGGAAGAATAGCAGTAGTTGAAACTCTTCCATTGTTGGTGAATCTTTGGAAGGAAGAGATATTATGAGTACCACACACACCTGCACATGGAGATGAACTTATAAGAAGTACCAACACAATCATGATAGATCCTCTATATTAATTAAAAATATATCTGAGGGTAAAATGGTGATTTTCACAGTTTGATTGAAAATGTTCTAAGTTGTTGACTAAGGCTATGCTTTCCTTCAATAAACCTGATGTGTTGTTTTGCCTGTCTTGTCCAACAACAGCCCAGAGTATCTTTTCCATCCCAGCTGCAGCTAAATAATAACTTCTGCTTGCAGGATCATGAAATGGGGCTTGAGTCATCTCAGAGCAGAAGTCACCGATTCTAATTGTAGGCTTTCTTATCTGGGTTAGTCACCACTAGTTCTCCTTATGGAGACAATCATGCATGTGGTGGCTGTGATTCATCTGACCTGTGTCAAACGTCCTTACCATGGAGAAAATTTCTTTTCTGGGAAAAATTTACAGCGTTCTCCACTTGCTGCTTGGCAGCCAGGGGCGAAGGGCAGATGTGGAGCTGTGGCAAATGTGGGGTTTGTCCGGAGCCATCACCCCCAGGTGCAGTTCGGAAGGGCATCAAGGACAGCTGTGGCTCCCCGTGCTGATGTTCGGGTGTCCTTCACAAACGCATGCATCATTTGTTTATTTTCCCCATGTGTTTGTGACACAAATCACACCTGGAAAGAAGGAGGAAGAACACTCACGCTTTCAGTTAACGTGCTGAATTAGATCATGTTTACTTCTTAGTGCAAGTCTCCTCCTAAAGGAGCTGTCTCCAAAGTTATTTGCTCCCCAGAGAAATCTCTTTCATGATCAAACCAGGGGGAGGAATCGGCCCCACTTTTGAAGGAAAGCATCATATAAACAACAGCTTCTCTCGGTCTGGAGTTGATGCCCTTTATGGCTCACGAATTGTTCTTGCCCTTCACACTAACAAGGGGAGACACAGGCTTATTTCTCACCTCGCCTATAGGTGTAGGTGAGAGCAAGTCTCAGCTTTGTGCCTCCATAAACTGGGAAGGGTCCTGAGCCAACAGGTGAGTTGGGGAGCATCGCCCAGTGTCAGCCAGAGGGCCCCACGGAGAGCTGAGCTGTCAGGGAGGGAGGATTTTGGCAGGAGCTGAGCCGCTTTGCATGGCAATCACTCGCCCAAGGTCAGGGTCTCTTGAACACAGCCCAGGGATCCAGAAGCAGCTTTTTTAACCTGAAGGAAGCTGCTAGCCCTAAAGAAAAGCCCCCGGTCTCAGCTAATTACAATGTCTGTCTTTGTTGTAATTGCACAGTGAGCAAAAGGAAGGAGGCTTGGAGAAGCCGAGGCATTGACTGTCCAAAGCTGTGCTTGCCAGAGATGTTACAGAGACAGCAGCAGGCATCAGATGGTCAGAGCTTCACTTGGCAGGCACCAGGGCAGCAAGCTTCTGCAGCACTCTTGGCCACATGGCCCATGGTTCTGCTGCACGTGAGGAAAACTGATGGGAAGTGCAGTTTCAAATCCTGGAAAGGAATACAAAGGTCTATGAAGCCCAGTTTCTCTAAATCCAGACTGAAGAGACTCTGTATCAGTCAGACAAGGGCTTATGCGCTGAATTTTCCAAGTGCAGAACACTCCTTTCCTAGGGTAGAGTTTGACATGGTGTGAAATGGATTCCTCAGTGAGCAATTCTTTCCACCATCTAAATAACTTCTCTTTTGGGAAGACATAGGCTTGGTACTGTGATAATTTTTTTAAACTGCATTCTAAGTAGCTTGCTCTGTGCATTCACCTTTCATTGCTGGGGCTTCCAGTGGTACTGATCTTTATAACCCTTTCCCTTGCCTTTTTCAATTCAGTGTTTTCACAGGAATGCTATCGACCCCAGACAGAAAGGGGGAGATGGTGTTAATTTTTACACTACACCTCCCATTTCAAAGCGCTTTGGAGTTGTTCCCACCTTCTCCATGGGAAGGAAGGGAAGAAAGGAGAGTTTTCCTCTGACATTCCTAAGTGAAAGCCTCTAAAAACGTCTCTTTGTCTCACTGGTGCTTTTTCTCTCATGAGACATCTCTTCTTTTTTTTTTTTAAAAAAAAAAAAAAAAGATTTAACTGTTTTGGTTATCTCTTTGGATCCAAAGAGTGACAAACTTTAACAAGGAGAACACAAATTCCAGTTTGCAAAGTGACATTACCAAACCAAAATCTGATCAGAATAAATCAAACATAGGGCACCATTCACATCGCTTATTTGTGTTTTGAGACATTTAGTTTGTTTTCCTTTGTTTGCAGCCTGCATGCTTTATGTTCCCCAATAAAAAGACAATTCTTTTTATCTTGGACTGCGGGGCAAAAAGGAAACATGCTGGTTTCATGTTTCTCCACATCTCTGCTTTCCAGCTGCAACTGTGTTGTGATGATGGCCAAGGGAAATCACAGCCTCGTCACTGAATTTGTGCTCTTGGGATTCTCTGAGGACAGGGGCGTCCAGGCTGTCCTCTTTATGGTCTTCCTGCTGATCTATGTGGTCACTCTGCTAGGCAATGCGGGCATGATCACACTGATCAGGCTGGACTCCCAGCTTCACAAGAAGTACACTTCATGTACTTCTTCCTGAGCTGCTTGTCCTTCCTTGATATCTGCTATTCCTCCTCAGTCACTCCCCGAGTGCTCTCAGACCTCCCAGCATCACAGAAAGTCATTTCCCACTCTGCATGCTTGGCACAGTTTTATTTCTACGCTGTCTTTGCCACCACGGAGTGCTACCTTTTGGCTGCGATGGCGTATGACCGCTACGTGGCCATCTGCAGCCCTCTGCTCTATGTCTTCTCCATGTCCAGCAGAGTTTGTGCCCTGCTGGTTGCTGGCTCGTACCTTGTTGGCGTTGTGAATGCCACCATTCACACAGGGTTTGCACTGCAGCTGTCCTTCTGTGGTTCCAACCTCATCAATCACTTCTACTGTGTTGGTCCCCTGCTCTACGCCATCTCGTGTGCAGACCCCACCATCAATGAAATGGTGATGTTTCTTGCAGTTGGCTTCAACATGCTCGTCACCAGTGTGACCATCCTTGTCTCCTACACCTACATCCTGCTCACTGTCCTCAGGATGCAAAGATTTCTCCACGTGTGCATCCCACCTGGCCGCTGTCACCCTCTTCTATGTGTCTGCTGCTTCCATGTACTCACGGCCCAGTTCCAGGCACTCACAGGACCTGGATAAGTTGGCCTCTGTGTTCTACACCATGGTGACCCTCATGCTGAACCCCTTCATCTACAGCCTGAGGAACCAGGAGGTAAAGGATGCTCTAGGGAAAGTGTTGGAGAGGAAGCGTGTCCCTGACAAACAGGTGTCCTGAGTGGTTGGGGGAATGGAGAGGTCTTCTCAGAAATGTTTAAACCCTGCATTTCTGCTGTGCTGCATCATGAAAAGAAAGAACAGTCTCCAGTGACTTGTGAATGAGTGATGGGAGAAAAGAATGGAAAATTTTGACTGTGTTCCTCAGTGCTTGGTCATGGGCTGCTCTTAGATCAGGCCTTTTCCTGACCTGACTCAATCATCACTGCTGCAGCTACTTTTCTGTGTATTTATAGTTTGATATGTGTAGTTTCAGGAACTGAAGCCCTCCTGATTCTGAGTGATGGGAATGAGGCACACACAGTTCACCTTCTGCCTTGGGTTGCAGTAAGAACTTGGATTCTGTTGATGAGTTAGGCAATGCCATTCCAAAAACATTCTCCAAACCCCCATTTCTTCCCTTCTGTCAGCCTTGCCAGGGAAATAAACGCTAGGCTTTGTAACAACACTTTGCTGCAAGAATTAATTTCACCTGCACTGTAACCTGTGTGTCTTCTTCCCACCCAAGTACTTGGAGCTCATTTTTGCTGTATGAATACAAACTGCTTTACCTCACTGTTGTAGAATCGTGTGCTTTTTCCTCTAGAAGAAGTCATACGATACGTGCCATGTGACCAACAAGCTTTGGAAGTTCCAATTCAGCTGACTCAAGCAGTAGGGCAGAAAAGTGTCTTGAATGGGATGAAACGTTGAGTAGGACAACAAAAAGTGGCCCAAGCAGAGCCAGAGCAGAGTGGGAGGGTCCTGCCAAACCCTTGGCCTGGAGTTTGAGATTCAAGCAGAGGGGTGCGGTGTCGGTGCTTTAATCAGAAGAACCTGAACTAGCATCCCGCTCCTGTCAGCCATGCCAAGTGATGCCCTGAGCACTGCACGTAGCAGTACAGGGACCCTCTTTGTCTTTGGGCCAACTCTGACAAAGAAAGTGGCTGCAGAGGAGCTCCTTGCTGTTACCAAGGAAGAAAGTTTCTTGTTAGTCCCCACTAATGAGTCTCTCGGGGCTTGTTAGCAAAGAGTAGTTCAGTTGACTCCAAGGCTCTGAGAAGCTCTCAGGATGAGGACACTTTCTTGGTAAGGCCCAGAAGGGCTTGTTAAGCCGTGACTCCTTGAGGGGTGGTTGGTCTCCAAAGAACACTTTCTGCTCTGAGAAGGGAGCGTCATTGCTTGTGATGGAAACAGCCTGGACCAGCTGGATGACAGGAGCCTGGAGCCCAGGCCTGCTGGAAGAGCTGTCTGTAATCAAGCTAACACGCTTTGGTTGGATCCCACCAATCAGACAACTTGTTCCTGTCTCTTTTTGATCCATGGAACAAAATAAAACACCTAAACAAAGTACTTATTTCCAAACCCTCTTCAGTATGTTGAAAACTGGAGTTGGTTCTGCTCAGGAAAGCATAGGTCGAATGATCAGCACAGCCTGAAAGTTGGGAAGTCAAGGCCTTTGACGTAGTTTCCTCACCACATCTTTATCTCTAAATTGGAGAGATATGGATTTACAGGGTGAACTATTCAGTGGATAATGAATTGCTTGAAAGGCTGCAGCCAGTGGGTAAATGGCTGTATGTCCAGGTGGAGCCTGGTAATGAGCAGCGTCCCCCAGAGGTCTTTCTTGGACCTGCCAATCTTTCACATCTTGATCAATTACATAGATTATGAAATTGAGTGCACTCCCAGCAAGTTTGTGGATAACACAAAGCTGAGTGGTGCAGTTGATATGGCAAAAGGAAGGGATGTCATCCAGCAAGACCTTGATAAATCTAAAGCTGGGCCTTGTGAACCTCATGAGGTTCGTCAAAGCAAAGTGTAAGCTCGGATCAAGGCATTTTAGCAAAGACTTCATGCAGATCAGCTGCGTAGCAGAAGTTTGCACCAAGGGGCTGTTCAGGCTGGAGAAGAGAAAGCTCCAAGGTGACCTGATAGTGGCCTTTCAAATCTAAAGGGGAGATACAAGAAAGAAGAGGACCAACTCTTTAGCAGGGTCTGGTATGATAGAACAAGGGGAAACGGTTTCAAGCTTAAAGAGGGTAGAATTAGTTAGCTATAAGGAAAAAGTCTTATGGTGAGAGTGGTGAGGCACAGGAACAGGTTGCCCAGAGATGTGGTGGATGCCGTGTCCATGGAGACTTCCAAGGATAGGCTAGGCCCGGCTCTGGGCAACCTGATCAAGCTGTGGATGTCCCATTCTTCGCAGGGGAGTTGGACTAGTTGACCTTTCAAGGTTCCTTCTAACTCTAAGGATTCTATGATTCCATGATTCTATCCTTGCTCTGAACTTTTTTACAATGTATAGCACAATGACAAGTTCTTTGCCGTGTTTTACTCCATTGTAGTGCCTGAGCTAAATCCATTGATCTACAGCTTCAGGAACAGGGACATGAAGAATTCTGTGAAGGAGTTTGCCAGGTGGAAGTGGCTCCAGCACGGTATCTAGCCCAGCTTGTACAATGACAGAGGTCTCCACGAATTCACCTGTTGCCAAGATTTTTTCTTTCCTCATCTTATTCTTTTGACTTCCAATATTTGGCTTGGAAACATTTGCATAGAACTTGCTGCCCAGAGAGGTCGTGGGTCTGTTCCATGGAGATCTACAAAGGCCACCAGGACATGGACCTGGATGCCCCCTGCTCTGGGTGGCCTGGAAAGATCAAGATTTTGACCAGAGTGACTGAGAATGGCCTATATCCTGAAATCTTCTGGGGAGTCTTGCTCTACTTCTACTCAAGCTTGTACTTGTCAGCAGAGATTGTGGACAGCCTAACTTACTTTCCATATTTTATTGCACTTGGCTTTTTTATTTCCTCCTGGCTTTTTCAGAAAGACATTAGCCCTATGCTTCCCTGCAGCCCTGTTCACCAGCATCCCTCAGCTTAAATCATAGAATCATAGAATCAGTAAAAGTTGGAAAAGACTTCTAAGGTCATCTAGTGCAGCCATCAGTCCATACCACCATGCCAGCTAATCATGTCCCTCAGTGTCACATTTCCATATTTCTTGAGCACTGCAGGGTCAGTGACTCCACCACTTTCCTGGGCAACCTGTGAGCACTCTTTTGGAGAAAATTTCTTTCCTAGCCTTACTCTATGATCTCCTTTGTTGTCAGTACCTCCATTCCCTACCCTATAGGGGTAATGAATAGGGTTTTTTTTTGCCACAAATACTGAGTTGACTCATTCTCCCTTTAGGAGTTCTGTAGAACTCATTGGAGTGTTGTGCCATTACTGTATGCAAGCAAACAAATGGGAGGGAAGGGGCACAATTAGTGTGCTGAGTCTGCTTGACAAAACCTAGCTTGACTGATTCTCAGAAATTGCTGGAATCACAAAGTCCTAATTAAAAATAAATATTCATTGTCACAGACACCCAAATCTCACAGATGTAAAGACACTGAGGATGCATATTTGTTTTACATCTATCTTATGTAATGTGTTTCCAAATTCAAAGTTGCATACGTTTCAAAGTTTCCTTTCATTCTGAGATGCTGTCCTAAGCAGAGGTGACTCTAGCAGGTTTCACTGTCTCCTGAGTTCCTGCAGTTCTCAACTGGATTAGTCTGTTTAGAATTAAAGTGCAGTATTTCAAATCTTAAAGCCTTGAAGTCTTACCACCCTGTTATACCTTACAAATACTGAAAGAAAAGAATGCATAACTGTGTAACCCGCAGTCTTCTTTCCCCCCATCACTGCATTACTGTGAGATTGGGAAAGAAAACAATAACCTTTTGGAAAGGCAAAATCAAATTTAAACTTTATTCTAAGCTCTTTCTCTGTGTGATCAAAGAACAACTTGCTCATTGAAGTTTCAGACCCTTCCTCCCCATCAGAATGAAGACAAAGATGGGGAAATCTCTGCACATCTCCTGAAAGCCTCCTTCACCTCTGTGATCCTCAGGCAGTAGATGAGGGGGTTCAGCAGAGGGATCACACACCATCCCGGTGTAAAACACAGGGGCCACCTTGTTCAGGCTCCTGTGGCTGGAGCTGGGCAGCAGATGCATGAAGAATCCTGAGGTGTAGAACAAGGAGAAGACTGGCAGTGGGAGGCACATGGGTTAAAGGCTCTGAACATGCTCTGTGCAGAGTGTATCCTCAGAACACTGGGAGAGGACATACAGGCATGAGACCACCATGATTCCACTAGGGCTAATCCTGTTTATGCTAACGAAAGTAAAGATAACCCTCTCCCTGATGAGCTTATGAGAGTCCAAAAGCTTTAGCAAGAGGTTGAGGTCACAGAAGAAATGGTTAGTTATGTTGGACTTCCCAAAAATCTCCAAAATGTGCAACTGATGTATATCACTATGTAAAGAGCACGTAGGCCATTGGGATCAGCTGGACACAGGCCTCCTTTGGCAGCAGGACCCCCCTGTACAGTGGGCTACAGATAGCAGTGTAGTGCTCATATGCCAGTCATAAGGCAGCACTCAGCAGTCCCACAGAACATTAAGCTCTAAAATTACACTGCTCAGTCAGAGGAAATGCCTTTTTTCCCTGAGGCCAAGGGCCCAGCACGTCGGGTGTGATGGTTGTGAACTGACTAAGGTCCACAAGGGTCACTGAGGAAGAAGAACAGGGGAGTGTGCAAGCTCTGGTTGGTCCCAACCCAAACCAATCTTCCCAGGAGCATTAGCAGATATATCAGCAGAAACACCTCAAAGAGAGGGAGCTGCATGCCCAGGCTTTCATCCCAGGAGGATGAAATTACGGGCTGTATACTTTAAGATCATGAACATTTCCTTCCCTAAGCTGGACCTTCACAAAGAAGAGAACTGTAAAAACAACACGAAAAAAACAGATCCTCTCCTACATACACTACGTGCTTATCCCATCTGAATGGCTCCCTCAATAAACAATGATTGATTACAGAGCTTTCTATTCAGAGGGGAAAAAAAGTGATCAAATCAAAGTGTTTTGTCAAAATCAAATATTCCAATGAAATACGCTGAGTGCATTAAGCATTTCACCATCAGTGCAAACAAACCACACAGCATTACAGACAGGAGTCTCT